TTTCTAAAGTGTCAATCATGTAAGAAATTACGTGTAGAACATTTAATTTAAAAATTTACTAGTGAATTTAAAGATCAGAACCACTCATTTGATTCGATGATCAAACATCTTTATTCGCAATCTTTCCAAATTAATACAAGCATTTCTTTCATATACTACATTATATGCATGCATGTTTGGTCCAATGAAAAAGAAGTTTTTCAACTTTGAAGCTCCTTGAAAAGTAAGTTTATTGTTCCTTAACTTATCTAACTTTAAGAATGTTTTTCTCTTTTTAATGTCTAGACCAATAACTTATAGAAGAATATAATTTTTAAATCAATGAAGTCAAACAACCACAATGCATATGAAAAATAATAAAACGAACTTGATGAATTCATTAAATGGCTTAATTTCAATATGTGATATGTACTAACTATTCCCTTAGTGAACATGCATTAATATTAGTCACGGGCAAGCTAAAAGTTTATGGAGAGATGAATGGATATATTTTTAAATCTTTTGAATGTGAAAATATTTGGCACAAAGTGTGTACGTATAGTAAAAGCATTTTGCTTGTCCCCTTATAATACTTAAGGTTTGGCGCTTGGTTGAATCTAGTTGATTTGCGATGTGAGCTTGAAAGATAAGAACTAGATGTTGCTTAGTACCTTTAGTTTTTCATTACCTCTCTAGGTTGAAGGAACTTCTATTTTATAACTTAATGTAAATGAATACTCTCCTTAAAATTCAAATCTACTTGAATTTCGAGAGCAACAACAACCGAGTTAATTAGACGGTTGGTTTGGTAACCATTAAGTTCTAAGTTTGACATCCAATGGGAGCAGCTTATTATTGACTTTCTTGGTCTGCGTCATGAGCAACTAAATCTAGGGTTACAAAGCAGGGTTTACCTAGTGCACACCTTAGCTTCAAGTAGTGGCTGCAAGCTTCCCTCGTCAAAAAAAAAAAAAAAAAAAAAAAAAAAAAAAAAAAAAAAAAAAAAAAAACCACGCATGGGATTGAAGAGATGCTCACAAAATTTAAGTCTAAAAGACATTCTTGTAATCATTTAAACAAGAACTAGGACGAAGTATTGCCCCACCTCTTCCACTCACGTGACGTTTCAACACAAGTCCAGCACAAGAAAAGTATCAAAAACCTCTTATTCTCGAAATTAACAAGAACACACACAAATCCTACATAAACTCAATAACCCTAAATTAGATCTATCCATTTCTACAGTAATCAACAAATAAACATTAAGATAGATTATCCTACCTAAGCACTTATACAAACTTCTCACACATATTAACTACAAACAAAACAAAAGAAAAGTACTAAGCATAAACATTACAAAAGAAAGAGATTATCAAACTTATCTATTGAAATGGAAAGATAATCTTCAAATAGAAAAGTAGAATCTTGATTACAAACTCCAAATACGTTAAGAAGCATAAATTTAACTCTAATCTAAGTGACAAAAAATAGGTAAAGAAATATAAGAAAACAATTAAGGTTCATCTAGTGGTCGGAATTATAAAAAAAAATATGCAGTCACACTTAAATATACTTTACAAACTATGACTGTGTAGCCATCCAAACACTCCCAGAAATGGTTGTGCAGCACTAGAGAAAAAAAAAAAAATCGAAGCAAATCTCTTCCTTTTACCATTCAGCTTCTTTCGAACATAAATATACTTTGGATAAAAAATTCTTATAAGAGTGAGCGTATCACGAGTTTGATTCTAATGCCAAATTAGAGTAATCTCCTATTACAAAGTGACACAGTAATACATATAACTCTTATGTAAAGCCGTAAAGGTTCCATTAGGAAAACCTTTAATTATTTTAATTATTGATGATTTACTTTAATATGAATAAATATGTTACGTTGAACCACAGCTCTAGTTCTTAATCTATGTGTAGATCAGAAATGTAGAATAATGTCTACCAAACATCAAAAAGTATGTTATATTATTGAATTTATAGTCACGATGATAAGATATTAAATGATTGGTCTGCCAAACATGGAGAAAATTATGCTGCATTGCTGCATGTCCCGACCTCCATTCTTGTCATCACTATATATATATATGATCTGAGGTGGCCCGAATTATTAAACCCGGTTAAGAACGCAATATAGATAATAAATAAATAAATGAAACGATGTCGTAAAGGTCATTGGAGACCGTATATTGTATTAAATACCGTAAATAGACTATTACAATAGTATTTTAGGACAAAGTGTGTAGAATATAATGAATGTTAGATATGAATTTAGTTGATAGAATGTAATGAATGTGCCTTGTTAGGACAAGGAGGGGGCTTTTATACAAGCTAAACCCCCCAACCGCCACCCCCTAAGGTGGGGGTGGTTAGATCCGCGTTGACCGCGCCTCCTTGACCAGTTCTAGGTCGGCCTCGTTCGTGGCCGACCTCTCCTGGACGACCTCTCCGCGGACGAACTCTCCAGGCGGGGTCAGCTGAGTGATGGCCGAGGCCCTATGCGTCGGGGCCCCGGGTCTTGCTCCACCTCCACGGGTCGGTATGCTCCACCTCTCCGGGTCTTACTCCACCTCTCCGGGTCGGTTCGCTCCGAGCATAATATATTCATCAATATATATTGGACAGATTAAATTAGATTTAAATAAATACGATGATATTTTCGTAATTATATATAGTCAATTTTACTTTACTAACTTGGAACTCCTAAATATGTAATCTCTAAAAACTAAATATGCAAATCTAGATAAATTTTAAAATATCAATGAAAAATTTAAATCGTAAATGCTAAAATCTAAGCAGTAAAATGTGAACCCCTAAATCAAATAAAACCAAAAACTCATTCATAAACTCAAAAATTCAAATCTTAAGTGCAATCTTTTAATATTAAATGTGCAATATGTTACTACTAAGTGTGCAATATGTTAAATACTAAATGTGAAAACCTAGAAAATTCTTAGAAGTGTATATTTTAATGTTCAAGTTTGCATAGCAAAGTTGGTGATAATTACAAAAATGTCACCCCATTTTTTTTAAATATGATCTGATCCGTATGATTTTTCTAGATGTAAGGCTAAGATTGATTTTTTGTTTTCTTCAAAGGACTTGTTCTTATATGATCCAATACATACATACATACATACATAGCGCTGCGTTCAGGTGAGAACGTTACGTCCCCGAGAAAACTCAGAACACATGACAATCAGCCACGTGTCCAGATTTAACGGATGAGAAACACTTAGCAAGTAAAATGTAAAATTACTTGCACTTATAATACATTTTACTTGCACTTGTAATACATTTTACTTGCAATTTACGAAAATGCAACCACATTTTTTTTTTAAATCAGTATTTCTCATCCCTTAAATCTAGACTCAATTCTTTCTTGAATAGCCGTTCGCATGAGAGTGCGCCCTATATATATATATATATATATATATATATATATATATATAGACACACACAACAACGTGCGGCAAGAATATGGGCATAGTTCTTTGCATAAAGTGACGTATGTACTTGCTCTACTCTAGCAGTAATCTATAATAAACATAAGGGCATTCTCAATAATTGAGGATTTTTCTCCAAATTTTTGTGAGCCCCATCATTCACCTTATCATTTACTATCTCACTCAATCACAAAAATTCTTCTTCCCATTAATTTTAGTTTTTTAAACCCAACCCACGTGTGTACCATAATCTCTGACATGATTTTTCAACGGTCAAAGTACCTGCTAGGTCCTTGTACTGTAGCGTTTTGTTCATTTTAGTCCTTGTACCTTAATTTTGTTCAATTCAATCCCTGTACTTTAAAATTTAGAACAATTAAGGACAAAACTTAACACCGTTTATTTTTTTCGTTAAGTTTGCTCACGTGGCGTTTGATTTGCCATGTCAAATTTTGTGATATGGTATTGCCATGTCAACTTTTATGGTGTGGCATAAAACAATATTATTTTTGGATAAAATCTGACATGGCAAATCGAACGCCATGGGGGCAAACTTAACGGAAAAAATAAACGGTGTTAAATTTTGTCCTTAATTGTTCTAAATTTTAAAGTACAAGGATTGGATTGAACAAAATTAAGGTACAGGGACTAAAATGAACAAAATGATATAGTACAGGGACCTATCAGGTACTTTAACCTTTAATCTGCAGGAGAAAGAGTTTTTCAAAAGTTTGCAATCCCATTTGTTAAAAGCTAACTAAGAAAATTTTACTCTTTCTAAAACTTGATGATGATCCCTATTAGGGTTGTCCTAAAAGGAACTGGAATACTTTTATTTTTGAGTACATTATAATTTTTAATAAATTTAATACACCAATATAATTAAAATTATTTATGTATCAGTACCAATTTAACTACAAACTAATTACAAAAACTGCCACTGTTTATCTACTAAGTACAGGCTGTACAGCCATAGATCGAGTTCACCTTACAAGATGGACCCAAATCAAAATACATAATTTATATACTAATGTAAATTGTGAAAATTGAATATATAAATTGTGTATTTTAGATCCGAGTCCACTGAATAATTTGTCATTTGTCATCTACTAATATAATAAAAGCTAATAAAGTTATGTCTATAACAAAAATTTAAAAAAAAAATGTTGGTCTTAGCTCTAGTTGTTTGGGATTTTGATAGTTTTATCCAATTGAGTCCTTAGTTATTAGAATCAATGACTAAATCGAGAAAACTCACTATAGTCAAAAATTAAATCGAATAAAACCTTTATAATCGAAGACTAACTTGGATAAAACTGCTATAATCAATGACTAAATTGGACATCAATAGAAGTGGAATTATCAAACTATCTTACCAGAGAACTTAATGGGTAAAACCATCAAAGTCGATCAGTCGATGACCTAATTAAGCACAAAAAATAGTTTAGGACTAAAAAAAAAAAAAAAAAAAAAAAAAAAAAAAAAAAACAAAACTATAGTCGAAAGCTAAATTGGGTATTAACTCAATCTTAAACAATCACAGTTCTTGCATTTGGGAGAGAGAGAGAGAGAGAAACAACATATCATTTCAATGAACTCTCAAATATTTCTTGGTTTCAAAACCTGGCCCTTGTGTTATTAGCATCCTTCTCATTCCATAAAGCACAGGAGACCTTTGCTTATGTTACATAAATATGCAAGCTCAAAGTAACAATGGGTAACACATTTGTAGTTGTAACAATGACAAATGTGTTAATTATTAGAATGTGGGAAAGAATAATGATATAGTGATTTCTGGCTTACAATCTTTTAGTTTGAGAAGAATCAACACTTAAAGATGACAACCCATCAATATCCGGGCTTTTGAGCTGATCAAGTTGCTTCTTACCACGTCGAAGTAAGTACTCGATGTACATGAAATTCTTACGATCAACTTGCTTGGCATTGTGGCGGAACTCAGCTGACACGAGAGACTCCATTTTCCTTCTCTCAATGGGGGGTTTAGCGCGGGCTTCTCGCAAGAATCCCCTATACAGAGAAAGCACTTGTTTCTGCATCCCAGAGAGCCTTTGACCACTGGAGGCTCCCATATTAAGCTTTTTTCTCGAGACGGTGCTGAAATTTAACTACACCACAGAAAGGATAGAAATGTGAGAAGATTAACGAGAACATGCCAATCTCTTAAAATGAAAGAAATTCTAATACTGTATGCAACAGGAGCAAGTCTTGAGTGGGACTGTCTCATGTGAGACGTGTAATACTTTTTAGTTAAAATATAATATTTTTCTATGCACTCATAAAAAGATATTATACGTCTCACGGTGAGACAGTATCACGCAAGACTTATTCGAGCAGCAGAATGCAAAATAGGTGCAAGTTAAAATTAAATTACGAAGAGAGAACCCAGGGCTTGGCTCAAGTCAAGCAGCAAACAATCATTTAGTTTCTATATCTTCATATTCTCCATTTGGATCTTTGGCTTAGGGTTCGATACTTCGATGCAATCATCACATAAAATTAGCCAATTCAGCACATTGGGAAAGAAGTCAGATAATCTTTGAAAGAGTGGTTTATAATCTCTGCCTTCTACTTAAGTGGCCTACTCCCACTTGGAAGAAATATGAACTTAGTTCTCCACGTAATTGAATATGGTCAATTTCTCTTCAAACCACAAAGTGATATTGGCATATTGCTAATGCCAGCAATCTGCATTTCACTTTATTAACCAACACCAATGTAAGCATTTACAAACAATCCACAGAAAGATTCAAAACCGGCTTAATAAGAATACTCAATTGAAATTTGAAATCAATGGAAATGGTTTCAAACATTAGAAATGCATTAGTCAAATGCAGTGGAATGGGAGATGCTCTTAACAATCAAAAAGATGAATCTACAAGGGAAGAAGACAAAACATATTTAGCAAATTGTTTCAAATATTATATTCAACAGGAATGATGATTACAGATTAGCATAAACTGGTTTCAAGCCTTTCACTTAAAACTACACAGGGAAGAAGCATGAGCTGTTGAGCATAACTTGCTGCCAAGCCTAGGCCTTTTTAGCCTTTTTAAATACCTATTCTTCAAACTCACAATCAACAATGTTCATACTTCATAATATAACCACAAATCCATAAATCACATCACAAAATTACAATCAACAATGTTCATACTTCATAATACAAAACCATACAATAAAAGTTCATAAATACAAAATCCAAAAACAAAAGTTTAATAAACACAAAACACCACGTCCATAATACAATGTAACATACTAACATTGAATATTATAACAATAATACCAAACGTTTCATAGCAGCCGACAGCCAGCCGTAGGCCGGAACCCGCAGCCTGCAACAGCCGCCGAGCCGCCCGCTGTAGGCCCCAGGCCGCAGCAGCAGCCACCGCAGGGGAGCGACCTGCTAGTCTGCTACACTACCTAGTGCGGTAGTACCTACCTACCCTGTTTGGATGTCTAATCGGACTACCATGGAAGCTGGGAAGACATACCTCGACTCACTGCCGGTCGCCGCCCGTCTCCCGCCGCCCGTCTCCCGTCGCCCGTCGCCTGTTGCCGTCCGTCGCCACTCGCCAGTCGAAGTAGTCTCGGACAAGATCGCAACCGCAGGATTTAATATTTTACAAATTATTAAAATTGGGGATTTTGAGGTTAGGGGTGGGTAATTGGTATATATATTTGGGTTATATGGTAAATATAAAAAATTTCCCTCCCTCTACAGCTTCCGAAGTACCCTTAGAGGTACTACTTTCACGGATTTACCTAAATATCAGTTAATGACCTACTATCAGAATTCGATCATCTTTCGACGAAATTTCAGGCAAAAAAAATAACCGGAGACCGTTCAAGGAAGTCAAGGTCGCCGGAAGAAAGTTATTTTCCTATATGAAAGGAATGTTGAAAGGTTACCTGAGTTCATAGGCATAGTTGCGTGTACTTCATTTCATTAAGATTTTGTTTGTGTTTCGTGTACCAAACCCTAGGTAGAAGATCTCGTATGAAAGAATTCACTTTGAATTCGTTCTTTTTCATGGTTCAAAGTTTATATGAATTAGACCAAGAGATTGACATCAACAAAGCAAGACCCCATTGAGTTTAGCCTAGAGCAGATCGAGGTCTCCTGAAGCTGAGAACCTCTTGCCGAAGATCCTTCTCTTTCTCTGTCACTAGCCTATAACCAATCTTTCTTTGCTTGCTTAAAATGTCTTCCCTTGTCGAAGATCTCTCTTTCTTTTTCACTAGGCTATAATCAATCTTTCTTTGTTTGCCTAGATTGTCTTCTTTTATATAAGATAGTTATCATCTTGTCCAAATCAAATACATTTTTAATATATTAAAAATAATGTACTTTATATTCACAAATAATGTACCTTCAATTAGTAAATAATATACACTTTCCCTTATAAGTGAGGGATACTTTATTCCATATTATTACATTTTACCATATAAATATTACATTTTCATCATAACTCGACCAGTCTCACGAACAATGATTCGTGATAAAGTCTCACACAAATTTTTGTCGTCTATTTAATATTTCCCCAAAGCCATGGCAGGCATGATTTGCTGCAAGCATGTTCAAAAATAATTGGAAGTAAAATAATTTGTATTACCAAACTGCAAACACAACCAAGACTGTCAAGAGGTAAAACTATTGGAGTAGAATGGTATATATTTGCTGTTCTTCAATAGAATTAATATGCAGTTAGAATAATTAGAAAGAAAGAAAAGAAAATTGTTCCTATTTGATTTCATCAACTATCATATTTCCATTTACAGGTGGGATCAAATGTACCATCTTACAATTGAAGGTGTTGTACTTTCAATGAAATCATGCACTTCTTGATTCCGATCTCTACTCGATATCTTTTACAGCATCCTGCATCGTGGATAACAAACAGGTTAAGGGGCCGAGAGACGAGCATTTTGTTTGTAAAAGAAACTCATTTTTACTCATTCCATCTCGTTTTCTCCTAACTTTCAAATGCGTCCTATTTTTGTCGAATCAATTCTATTTCTTCCCATTTCAGTCAAAAACCCAGAAGAGTAAGAGTAAACACCAGAAAGCAACACCTTGTGAAGAAGATGAAAAGGTACAAAAGTTCATGAATATAAGGTGACCTCTAGAATAAACATAAAGTTCTGTTTTTCCCAACAAGCTAGGAAGAATAATACAAGAACTTTGGATGGAGGCCAAAAGGTGGACTACCTCTGGGAAGCACTCAACTAGGCTATATTGCACATGAGCCAAACCACCACCTAGGCTATATTGCACATGAGCCAAACCACCACCTCCCCGCCACCAATACCACGGGTAGACAACCAAGTGAACACAAAGTTGACCGAACCAGGCTCTAATACCATGTTATAATTTAAGATTGGGCCAAGGTTACTCAACTAGGCTATAATGGGCAAATTATATCATGAACCGGGGTCTACCTTGCAATGTGGACCTTGGTCAAAAAATAACATTCAGATTCTATACATGCAGTTGACACATTCTATACCTGTAAACAAATTGAAGACACATCACATGGTACACACATAACATGATAACTGCAGACACATAAATTGTTCTTATGTGTCTGCAGTTAACATATTTTATACCTGCAGTTAACAATTTATTCAATTTGTTTAGAGGTACAGAACCGTAGACACATAATTTTTGAACCAAAGTTCACAATGCTATATAAACCTTGGTCCATAGTGTAACAATTGGCAATAACTATTGATGGATTAGACTAGCTAATTGATTGGATTCAATCTTTTAGTGTGGTTTGGTCCAACCTTAGATTATAACAGTGGTAAGTATATCCATATTAGGAAGTATAGAAAATATAGCAGGACTGAGGGAGTATAACAAATCAGAGAACAATAGCGACAAGCAAATTACCTTAGCAAGCCGCGTTACATAAGTAGCAGCTATGGCCGTAACTAATAGACCTATTCCCAGTGTCACTAGACTGTTCCCTCCAAGACCAATGCTTGATTCATCTTGCTGGAAAAGCCGGGAAATATAAAAATAATAATAATAAATAAATAAAATAAAAAATAAAAACAAATTTCATCTTTAAAGAAAGATTCTTGAGGAAGAAAGCTTAAACAGGTAACAATGCTTAAAATATAGTACTCTTCTTCTTTTCTCGTTTTCCCTTTCATATTTTACATAATTCATATCCTGATTGATATCACAAAACACGACAGATTTTGCAAAAAATGAGGTTGTTTGTGTCCTCAGTACTAGATGAAGACTACCTATACTATCATCAAAGTATATCGCTACCAACCAATCTTTAATTTTTATCCTTAAAAAATATTAATAATAATCAACCATAAACAAATACCGATAACAATAAGAACTGAATAGAAAGAAATACTTACAATAATTGCTCGACCAAATGCACCCGCACTCACATAAGCCCAAGTTCCAGGAAGCATACCTAGCCAACTGCAAATAAGAAAGAAAGGGTAAGACGGGTAAAAGGATCATTAATCTTTTCGCAATTCTGAAAACAGAAAGTTTTTCAATGATTTTTCTGCATATTATGGGGCACGATAATCCAAAGGACACTGACCTTCCCAAAACATAAGGCACAAACTTGACAGAAGTGAGTCCATACAGATAATTTCCAAGAGAAAACGGGAGCAAAGGACTCAAACGGAGAAGGGTCACAACTTTAAAACCATTTTCTCCAATTGCTTTGTCAATTGCAAGAAATTTCTTGTTCCCTTCAACCAGTTTTAGAATTCGATCACGAGCAAAATATCTAGCAATGAGAAACGCAACACTTGCAGCCACCTGAAAGGAGTAAATTAAAGAACATAGTTTTTTTTAAGTATCGCCAAATCCTCTTAATAGCTTTGTAGAAGCAAAATATATATACTAGCTTACTGTTCCACTGATAGAGACAATGATGGTTCCAATGACAGAGCCAAACAGAAGACCAGCAGACATGGTCAGCGGAATGGCGGGTATTGCAAGGACCTAGGAAAAAAAAAAACAAATACTAGTGAAAATTTGCCTCACATGGATGACGAATACCTTAAAAAGTTAACAATGAAATAACATCTTTTTTTTTTTGTCAGACCACGAGATGTCCTGAGCAGACCCTAACTGTAGGAGGCACCTTTAAGCCCATACCATACTCAGACTAATCCCCGTTTGCACCGGGCCAGCACAATTAAGAGGCAAAGTGCTGACCAGATTGGTTTTTCCATACGAGAGGGCCCGACCTCTCTTAAGGGACAAGAGTGCACGGCCACTCACGCCAACCAAGCTGGTTAAATAACATCTTTTTTATAATTACTGAAATTGGATTATGGTTTAAAAACAACTTACTATTAGTTAATGTTCAGACAGTTAAAGTAAACAGATGCATTAGTATATATTTCACACATTGTAAGAATATTACCTCTAATCCAGCATAAACTGCAACAAAAAGTGCATATCCTGCTGGACCATAATCTGTCACATAAAAAGCCTCAGATACACTCGCAGGAAAGAAAAGTTCGTAAAATTCAATAACTCTATTCAATTTTTAATTTCTTTCAGAAAGAATTGTAGTAAATAAATTTTGGTAGGAGATCAAAAACCCAAATCTATAAAAAAAAAAAAAAAAAAAAAAAAAAAAAAAAAAAAAAAAAAAATCACTCCTGCCATGCTTCTCTGCAATAGTAGTCTGCATAAAGCTGGGAAACTAATAATTCGACCTCCAAAGTGAAGCAAAGACCCCGAGCAGTTATCTAAAGCAGTATACAATGATACAGCAAGGCATCGTAGAAGGTCTTAGGTTAATTAGTTGGGACTTCTTGGGGCAGACTATATACACTATCAAGAGCCATTAATGCCTGTTCTTTGTTCTTCATTCTATCTTTCTTCATCAAGCTAACATCAAAGTAAACTTCATAGGAAACTCAAAATTAAACCTAAAATTATTGGCACACTGCATTGAAAAAATGAATGATTCGTGCTCACCTAAGAAGCGCAATTATTTTCTCTATCTGTAGCCTCAAATTAGTTTCTCATCACAATCAAAAACTTAACCTTAGATGATCTTATCAAACAATTGGCATCTATGTAAGGTTATAGTAAGGTTCCCTTATTCTATATACATAAAACATTTATGTCCAACCAAAATGTAAACTTTTCATATCAGCCATGACCCTCGATTAGTTTAAGCTTTTTGCAAGATCTTCCCACTATGACATAACATTTAGGTTCTATTCAAAACCCAAATCTTTGCTGCAATTCTGCCCAGAACATAATTCCTCAAAGCAATTCTTTCTAGACCATCCCCCTACACACACACACACACACACATTGAACTGGCAGCAATTAGCAAGATCTTTTCCACACCAACTAAATTCATTATGCATAGCCAAACACACACAAATTTGAAATGGAAATGAAAAAGGAATTTGAATTCATCCAACTATACCATCAATGATGCTTGAAAACTGTGTCAAGAAAGCATTGATCTGGTCCTTGTAGAGGTAACCTACAACCCCAAATCCACCAACTGCACCTACAATCAAAAGACCAGCCAAAAGGGTACCTTTAACCGCAGCATCCCCATCCCCTTCCCCACCACCACTCTCAGTACTATCATTCTCCTCTTTGGGACCCAAATTCAAGAGCTTACTGAAGCTCTGGGGAGCACCAGAGGGAGTCTTGGAAAGGGTCTGCTGTTTCTTGGTTTGTTTGAGGGAAGAGCGTGGCTTCAAGAAGTGGAACCTCTTGGGTCTGAAGCTATATAGAAACGAAGAGCAAGAAGGGGAAGAAGACGAGGAAAGGGCAAAGCATAGTGATAATGGTCGGGTCGAGGAAACGGTGGGCATTTCAAGTGGTCGAAGAGGACAAAGAAAGCTTCTTTTTCCTCTGCTTTTCTAGTTGTGTTTTTGAGCTCATTCAAGAACGTTTTAGGAATTAGGAGAGGGCAGATGCCAGGAAAAATTTCGAACAAACAGAATATACTCCCATTCTTCTAGCTATCGCTGTTTGAATTTGTGTTTTGCGAATTGATTTTTGTGGAAATTTTTGTGACGTTGAAATACAAGATCGAGTTCTAGAGGTATCAGGATGGATAAAATTGTGTTCGTTGTTGAGGCACGTGTAGTTTTTTCTTTTCTTTTTAAATTATTTTTCCTTTCTTAAATTTTTCACCCCACCAAAAAAACAATAATAATGGTAATGCCGTAAGCCCGTAATGGTGTGTGGCTGCCTCCTGCCTGGGGATCTTGCTTCAAGGTAGACATCCCGTCTAAGTCTTACGACATTTATTAGATTTATTTTGAATTAAATTTTTATAACAATAAATTTAATATTAGTATATAAAATTTATATAATTATTAAAGATAAGACAATTAAATTTAAAAATACTAAGAGCATCCACAATGGTTGGGGAGAATTGGGGAATAATGTAAGAGTGATTAGGAAAGAGAAGACAGGAGGGGAGAAAAAAGAAAGAAAAAAAAAACAAAACTAAAATTTTAAAAAAAAATAAAATAAAAAAAGGACGTGTCCGTCAGCGCGCCTGACGAGTCACACGAGCGCGTGCCGTGTTGCCACTTGCTTCTTCTTTTTCTTTTTTTTTTTTTTTTGTATTTTTGACATTCACCCCACATTTGTAGTAATATTATTTCTCAAATAACCTACACCCACATCAGCTATTATTTTGGGTGGGGAGAATTAATTATGAAATAACTCCAAATAAACCACAAGTGTGGATGCTCCAAAGAAAATAATCAAAAAAAAAATAATTGATTAGACTCATGAATAGTAAACATAACAGATAAAATAGAAAATCATATTTAAACTAAGTGGTGTCAAAAATATTAAATTTAATATTATTCCTAATAATATAGAAATATTAATATAAGTTACATTCATATTGAAAAATTATTTGAAAAAAAATTAGGTTTTTTTTTTTCAATTCTCATTTCCACTCTCACTTTTGATTTGCATTTTCAATTCTTACGAAACAAAGAGTTATTAAATTTTTTATTATTATATTTTGAAAATTAAAATTTTAAAATATGTTGACCCCTATTATATTTATTTTAGTGAAGTCAAATTTAAGATTTCTCAAAGTATACATATGTATAGGTAATAAACAATAAAATTTGAGTGGATTAATTGACCCACTCAAATGAACATAGCTCCGCCATTGGGTATAGCATTGTTTTTTTTTTTTTTAAAGAGAACAATTTATAAGTTGTAGTTGTAAAGGTTTTAACTAAGAGCATCCCCATCCGTGAATAAAGTGGAGTTATTGGAACAATAATTGATGATGTGGTGGAAAGAGAAAATTGGGAAGCTTTTGCAAGAGGTGGTTTTTGGAACAATATTTATGTAGATTTATTAGGTCTCGGTGTGCGCGTTTCGCGCACAGTAAAGGGCCACACGGGTACATGCACTGTACGCGCCTGACAGTGATTTTAATATTATGTTTTAAAATAAATCAGTTTTTGTTTTGTTTTTTTTTTTTTCCTCCCCCTCCCCCATCATCTTTCATAATCACTTACAAAAACTCCTCAAAAAGTGCAAAATATCCCATATGGATGCTCTAAGTAATATCTCCAAGAGTACCACCACTTCATTCTATAAGCGATTTAGGATTCGCTATAGAGAGAGATTGCAATGCAGGCTAATCCATATTTATTATGAAGCTAACTGTGCGTTGACTGAATGTCTTTGTTTGGTCAAGATTAATTTACATTAATTTTCAAAATCTCTCAGCGGTGTTCAACCTCCATTTATCATAAAATTTGTAAGAATTGTGTGGTCTCATTTTATGTACGTAGTTTTTTTATTGTTTTTGTTGTCGTTCCCTATGATCATATGAGAACAATGTTCCCATAGCAGATAAATTATCTATGTATTATCTTTGAAAGTTGGTTTTCCTAACCATCGTAATTTTCATGTAACTTTCCCTCAGAGTATAGATATATATGTATGCATAAACATCAATTCTTGGAGACGGCTTAAAGATGAAGGTCTAAAAAAATATAAGACGGGTCTAAGAGCATTCCCTTTTGTAGTCCTATCGAGTGGTTAACTAGGTTAACGCCTCAAGCCTTAGGTCCTCTTGAATACGATTGGTTGACCTTACTCGTCCCTTACTCGTCCCTTAACTCCTCGAAAGGTAGGTCCTTCCTAACTTTGACCTTTGCGACCCTTCGGTTACGAATGGTTGACTTTACCATTCGGTCTTGCAATACTTCGAAAGGTAGACCATTCCACCTCTTGGTCTTTGCAACATTTCGATCTTGATAATCTTCCATTCTTCGAATCTTCAGTCTTCGGTCTTCTTGAACTAGAGATAACTACTCGTGTTATTCGTCTTCTCGAGCTATTCAAAAGATAACCACTCGGGTTGATCTTCAACTCGTTGCCTTCTTCTCAGTCGAGAGTTAACCACTCGGGTTACTCTTTGAATCATTGTTGTGATTGTCCTCTCGAGCCTCCATTCGGATGTAAACATAAGTTACTACTCGAGATACCATTCGGTTTATTTCGAATGTTTGAGTAGAAATATCCTAAGTCTAGAAAATAAAATAATTGGGAGTCTAAATTCCTATTATTTAGTATCATCAAAATCTAATACGGAGTACAAATTTCCCATTCGGAAATCCTTCATTAGCAATTTCCAACTCCTTAAAAAATGCTATTTTTTCATAACATCACAAATGCCCTTTTATGTATCCACTAAAATCTATTTCACAAACATATTTTGGATCTTATTGATATTCGCAATTCTAGCAATCCCAACAGTCTACCAAGTCTTCCAGCTACAAAACCCAGTATGCTATATATATGTAAAACAACCCTAAATGCAGCTATAGACCTACACATATCTTATGATGTCCTATATTGCCTGAACTAGCATGAAGTTTAACATGTTAACACCAAGAGTCCAAGATTCATTCACAAGGATATCGTCTTTGGTTAAAAAACATGTGTCTAACTGATAATAGTCACAGACATATACCCAACAAAAGAAAAATAGTAAGAGGATATCCAAGCAGCTAGGACAAAACAGCCCAGAACAGGTGAAATTGTAGCCTCCTTCATCAGCCTGTCATGGTTAAGACTGGACACAATTGGCCGTCAAGGATTGCAAGACGGTGTCTTGTGACTTTCTCCGTGAAGGTTGGAGGTAGTTAACTCCCATCTGAAATTTTTCTTGAACTTCATCATATTCAACTCCAGTTTCTTCACAGAGGATGCAATTTTGTGGAGTTGATCATTGATACTGGTTTGCAGCACTTCAGGTGAAAGCGAGTTGGGAGATTCAAGAACTTTGACAGCAGTGTTGGCGGCAGAATCAATCTATAAAAGCATATTTATACAAGGAACATGAGCCAAATGTTTCCTTGGTAATAACAATCATAATAAGTGTCAATGACAACTAAGGAAACACAGAGGGTCACCCCAGCCGATATGGCAAAAGATCCACACTTGTGAGTTGTAACCACAAGGTCACGAGTTCAAATCCTTGCCCCCTTGGTTTGAGCCAATCAGCTATGGGTAACCTGGACTGGTTTACCTCTTTGTGGTCTTTTGCCGAATAGGCCCACAAGGTGAAGTTTACCCACACCCAAAAGGGTTGTGGGGTTCCTCCTTAAACAAAAAACTAAGGAAACACAGATATAGCTAGAAACTGAAAATTCATTGTTACAATTGCTAAAGGTGATTGCAGTTTTAAAGGATACTAACCAATATAATTAATCGTGACTTGTGAAATGGAAACTGGAAAGCCACAAAAATGTTCAGAAACCTAGGCATACAACCCCGCAAGGAATCAAGGATATCAAGCCTAACACTACAGCTTGATTCAGGTCAGGCAGATGCTATCACAAAAATCACAGAACAGTAAAGCAATTTGAAAATAGAAATGCAAACTCCAGTCACCAATAGGATTCATTATCGCCAATTGAAGCTTCCTTTTTTAAAAATCCAAGTGAATTCCATATAATAGAATCAAGTCCTAAAATGTTTTTAAAAATCCAAGTGAATTCCACTGCAGAAAAGTCAAAGCTTCATTAAAAGTGCAAGGTTTGAGCCACTAGCAATTCATAAAGGCCTTATGGTCCTTGGAAGCAATAGTTCTTTTATCAATTTCCATACTGAGAAATATATTCTTAGCCACGAGAACTCATAATAAGATGAAGGCAACTTTGCTGGAAGTGAAATAGAGTTACCAGCCAATTCATAGAAGCCCCCATAATCCCCTTGTTACAACCATAGTGTTGTTACAATTATTATTATTATTATTATTATTATTATTATTGTAGTGGGATATGGGATAGCCACTTTCTTAGGTAGTTACAACCACTTAGGTAGTGGGTAGTGGGTAGTTTTATATTACTATGTATAAATAGCTACATATGTAATTGAAGAAGGGGACTTTGGAAATTCAGAAACTTTTTGGCTTTCTATTAAGGAAAGATTGGGGAGACGAAGCACTCCAGAAACGCTTCATTTGTATTCTTAAGTTCCTAGGCCTGTGACGCGATCCTAATATCCCGGTGCCTATAACATTTGGTATCAGAGCCAACGTCATGGGCGATCAGACACTGGGAGATGCCATTCAGAACCTCCGGACCACAGTCGAGGCTATGAGGGTTGATCAGGAGGCTATGAAGGCTGATCAGGACGAACTCCGAGCTATGTTCCGGCAGTTCTTGGCCGGAAAAGAGGCTGCTTCCAGCAGCCACAACGCGCCCTCTCCTCCTCCCGCGGAGGACACCACCTCCGCCACCCTGCCCTGCTGCCACCACCACTGCCCCCAAATTTACCAGGCTGGAGTTTCCCCGTTTCGACGGGCGAGAGGACCCCTCCGGCTGGCTTCACCAGTGTGAGCAGTTTTTCCGGGTACAGGGCACCCCAGCCCGCGATTTTGTCAGCCTGGCGGCCTTCCACCTGATCGGGGTGGCGCAACTTTGGTATTTCCGGCTAGAGATGGAAGAGCTGAAACTTACTTGGCTTCAGTTCAAACAACGTTGCTACCTGCGCTTCGGCCCTGGCCTCCGGGGTAATGCG